GGTTGTGGTGCTCGATTTATTATCAAGTTAGATAGAAATTTAGGACAATATGTTGCCATTGATTTTGTTGAACATCATGATCATGATCTTGTGCCTCAAGAGTGTATTCATATGTTGCCATCCCAAAGAAAAACATCTACTACCCAAGCAATTGAAGTAGAATTGGCTTCAGAATCTGGAATTCCTCTTAGGTCTACTTATGAGCTATTTGGTAGGGAATCTGGTGGAAGAACATCACTTGGCTTCACCAAATTGGACCGAAAAAATTACTTGAGATCGAAGAGAGAAAAAGATTTGGAATATGGAGAAGCGGGTAGTGTGTTGCAATACTTTCGTAAGAAAAGTTTAGAAAATCCATCCTTTTATTATGCAGTCCAATTAGATTGTGAAGAGCAAATAAGTAACATATTTTGGGCGGATGCATAAATGATAATGGACTATGCTCAATTTGGTGATGTAGTGACCTTTGACACTACTTACAAATTACATAATGAACATAGACCTTTTGGAACCTTTGTTGGATTTAATCATCATCGAGAAACTGTTGTATTCGATGCAGCGTTGATGTACGATGAGACTGCCGAATCATTCACATGGTTATTTCAGATTTTTTTGGAGGTAATGTCAAACAAAGCTCCAAAAACTATTTTCACCGATCAAGATGCTGCGATGGCTAAGGCCATTCCAATTGTCATGCCTAGTACAAACCACAGACTTTGTACATGGCATTTGATGCAAAATGCTGTGAAGCATGTGAGTTCCCTCTTTCAAGATATTGGGGTAAAGGGTGTCTTTTCAAAATTTATGCATCAAATTGATGATGAAGAAGAATTCAAAATACAATGGGACCAAATGCTTGATAGGTATGATACACACAACAATCATTAGTTGGCGCAAACTTTTGGTGTGAAGGAGAAATGGGGATGGCCATATATTATGAATTCTTGGGCAGCTGGAATGAGTACTACTCAACTAAGTGAATCATTCAATGCATTTTTGAAGGATTATCTCAATTGTGATCATAACTTGATGGAATTTTTCAAGCATTTTGAGAGGGTGCTCTATGACAAGAGGTATAAAGAATTGGAAGCCGAGTATAATTTGTGTCAAAAATTGCCAAGGGTTTCCATTCCAACTGTGATGTTAAAGCAAATGGCAGATATTTACACCAAAACAATTTTTGAGGAATTCCAAAATGAGTACATGCAGTCCATTGAAGCGTCCATTGTAGGCACTATTCATGATGGTGAGAGTACCATATTCACAATTCAAACGGATGTAGATGGAAAAAAAGATAAGAATGTGACAATGGATAGAGATGGTTTTTTGAGTTGTAGTTGCAAGAAGTTTGAAGTGAAGGGCATAGTGTGTCAACATTGTTTAAAGGTGCTTAGAGAGATAATCAATGCAAAGGACCTTTCTGCACAATACAAGAAGTTTGAAGTGAAGGGCATAGTGTGTCAACATTATTCTTGCAACTAGTAGCGTTATATTTATTATTTTTGGTCTTTTGTGATGCATGTAGGATGGTTCTTTTCTACTTATCAAGGTCAATTTCAACCTTCTTCCGATATGGGTAATCATTCAATACAGGTAATATTTAATTTAGGGTGTTTACCTTTGACATGCATAGACGTTAGCGAAATTGAACCTCATACGAAACCAACATATCGTGCATTATTAACTTTTTTTTTCACATTGCCTTATTCTTTGCTTTATGTTGGTTTACTTTAGGGTGTTTACACTCCACAAGGTCAATCTCGACCTCCTTTTTCCATGGGTAGTAATTATGTTGAGGTAATATAAAATATTGTTTGTTTTTTAACATGAAAATGCATTATGAACTTTTTTTGCCATACATTGTCTTATTCTTTGCTTTATGTTGGTTTACTTTAGGGTGTTTACACTCCACAAGGTCAATCTCGACCTCCTTTTGCCATGAGTAGTAATTATGTTGAGGTAATATAAAATATTGTTTGTTTTTTAACATGAAAATGTATTATGAACTTTTTTTGCCATACATTGTCTTATTCTTTGCTTTATGTTGGTTTACTTTAGGGTGTTTACACTCCACAAGGTCAATCTCGACCTCCTTTTGCCATGAGTAGTAATTATGTTGAGGTAATATAAAATATTGTTTGTTTTTTAACATGAAAATGTATTATGAACTTTTTTTGCCATACATTGTCTTATTCTTTGCTTTATGTTGGTTTACTTTAGGGTGTTTACACTCCACAAGGTCAATCTCGACCTCCTTTTGCCATGAGTAGTAATTATGTTGAGGTAATATAAAATATTGTTTGTTTTTTAACATGAAAATGTATTATGAACTTTTTTTGCCATACATTGTCTTATTCTTTGCTTTATGTTGGTTTACTTTAGGGTGTTTACACTCCACAAGGTCAATCTCGACCTCCTTTTGCCATGAGTAGTAATTATGTTGAGGTAATATAAAATATTGTTTGTTTTTTAACATGAAAATGTATTATGAACTTTTTTTGCCATACATTGTCTTATTCTTTGCTTTATGTTGGTTTACTTTAGGGTGTTTACACTCCACAAGGTCAATCTCGACCTCCTTTTGCCATGAGTAGTAATTATGTTGAGGTAATATAAAATATTGTTTGTTTTTTAACATGAAAATGTATTATGAACTTTTTTTGCCATACATTGTCTTATTCTTTGCTTTATGTTGGTTTACTTTAGGGTGTTTACACTCCACAAGGTCAATCTCGACCTCCTTTTGCCATGAGTAGTAATTATGTTGAGGTAATATAAAATATTGTTTGTTTTTTAACATGAAAATGTATTATGAACTTTTTTTGCCATACATTGTCTTATTCTTTGCTTTATGTTGGTTTACTTTAGGGTGTTTACACTCCACAAGGTCAATCTCGACCTCCTTTTGCCATGAGTAGTAATTATGTTGAGGTAATATAAAATATTGTTTGTTTTTTAACATGAAAATGTATTATGAACTTTTTTTGCCATACATTGTCTTATTCTTTGCTTTATGTTGGTTTACTTTAGGGTGTTTACACTCCACAAGGTCAATCTCGACCTCCTTTTGCCATGAGTAGTAATTATGTTGAGGTAATATAAAATATTGTTTGTTTTTTAACATGAAAATGTATTATGAACTTTTTTTGCCATACATTGTCTTATTCTTTGCTTTATGTTGGTTTACTTTAGGGTGTTTACACTCCACAAGGTCAATCTCGACCTCCTTTTGCCATGAGTAGTAATTATGTTGAGGTAATATAAAATATTGTTTGTTTTTTAACATGAAAATGTATTATGAACTTTTTTTGCCATACATTGTCTTATTCTTTGCTTTATGTTGGTTTACTTTAGGGTGTTTACACTCCACAAGGTCAATCTCGACCTCCTTTTGCCATGAGTAGTAATTATGTTGAGGTAATATAAAATATTGTTTTCCTCCTTTGTGTCTGCTTAGCAAAATCGTAGAAGAAATAATAATACATATTGGGAGCAACTAGAATGGAAAGAGAACCCTCCTTGTGTGAGTTGACTGCTTAGCAAAATCATAGAAGAAAAAATACATATGAAAGCAAGTCAAATTCAAACAAAAGTATAAAGAAAAATCTTAGCCACAACATATCCAATTTTTTATAGGAAAACTTTTGACTTGAAGGATAGCTATGGGACAAGCTTGAAAGAAAAAATCTTCCATTGTATGAAAATTGTGAGTTTTCAATCAACTTTGTTTTCACCTATTAAAAAACTGATATCTCAAGTGGAAGCAGATACTCAATCTATTAAAAAACTGAGATCCCAAGTGGAAGCAGACACCCAATCTCTAGGGATTTTCATGGCTCGAGCAGTGGCCAATGATTTTGCAAAGTCTAAGGTGGTTTTAACTTGGATTTTGGATGGGATTGGTCTTCAAGTCATCTCATTTATAAATACTCGTTCCATCCCCAATTGTTTGTCAATTTTCAGCATTCATGCCTTTTAGTAGGGTCAATAAATAATGTATTTTTTTCCTTACAAATTGAAAGAAAGAATAAATAAAAAAACATAGATGATTTTTTTGGGATGTTTGGAATAGTTAAAATGGACCAGCAATTTCATACGGGAGGAGAATTAAACTAGTTGTAACCAAAATAAATTTGTCAAATAAGAGAAGATATTCGCTTGCACTATCAATTGATTAATATGCGTTTTACATTACTTCAATACATTTCAAGTTTGTTTTGGTGATTTCCTAGTCAATGGTGGATTGTGTTTAATTTGTGGTGAATTCACAGAGTATCATGGATGCTTGATACTCTACCAACCATTCAGGAACAAACATCACCGATTTCCAGTGGTATAAGAAACACGCTAACAAGTTTTAGGATTCAACACCTAAGGCACATGAAATGGGTTAGGGTTGGGTTGTTTCTATTTTTTTTTCCCTTACTAATGGTGAATTGGTTGGCTACGGGGTCCTGTGGTTTTTGTCCGTTTTGATTTTCGACAGGAAGAAGGAAAAAAAAAAAAAGGGAATCCTTTTGTGTCTAATTGATAATTATATTGATTGCAGAATTGATTGGCATAAAGCAAATTCATACTGGTTAAATTGAATAAAATGAACAATTCATAATCTCTGTCATGTTATGTTATCAATCCTAAGCAAATTCTTTTCCATTTTGAGGGCTAAATCTCCTCTAGACCTTATTCAAGTGCCAAACAACATTTTAAGTGTGAAGCATTAGCACTTTATTTGAATCACTAGATCTTTAGCATTGTCAAATTAATTTTTTATTTGAAATGTTACTGCAATAGTCGTTTGACCAAAAGATGTGAAATAAAACCTGTTTATGGATGAGGGCTTATTAGGGTTATATTTTAAGCCTGGCTAAGAAAGATTTATACAAGTCAACTAAAATTTGGGATATACGTAGATCATGGGATTATACGTAGATTTTGTTCCCTAGGAATGGCACTGTATAGTTACCAAAAAGCATGACATTTTGCATTTCAACTGCAGGAAACTTTCACCAGAGTAAATGTTCCCATAGAATGGCTGCGATGAATTTTTTCCACGGCGAAGCATGGCTGGTATTAAGGGCGATACATGTTAGATTAGCACAATGTAAGAATGGAGTTAATAATAACGACTTCCTTTAGGAAAAACTGAACCTAGGTGTTGGTCAGCATGCAAACGGAAGGCTGTATACACTCACAAGACTTTAATCCTAAAGTATCGAAATTGATAAGACCTAAAGCACATACCTACTACATCAAGTGTTTTGGGAAGGGTGAGATTAGAAATCAGATAGAAAATTCATTTTACTTTTTTGGTTAGGTAAAATTCATTTTACTAATAGTTAAAAGAGATTGAAATTTTGAAAGTACACGTTTTCTTTTGATTTGTATCATTATCGTTGTCATGATGATTGCACCAGCATGTGACTGTCACTACATTAGATAGCAGGATTTGCTGTGGTACGCCATCACTGCCGCCACTCCATCACCATCATGATTTCATCAACTATTGGAATAGTTCCTATTTACACCTTGAGATTCATTAAATTATTGTGAACTGTAGCAGTTCAATGTCAACTTAATGTTTAACTGTGAATTGCCTCTATTTATTTCTTCATTTTATTGATTATTATTATTAGGTTTTTTTTTTTTTGATTTTTTCTTTTCATGCAGACATGGCGTAAAACAGTTGACAGGGCTTCAAAGGTCTTCTTGGAGATGCATTACAATCGGCACAAGCGCTTGACAAATGATATTGCTTAGACCATGCTATTTCACACTGTGGAAATTTTTATCTGACCTGGGGTGTTGGGAAGGAAGGTTTGGCCCTTGTGCACTACTAGCGTCTAACTTATATTTACTTATTCTTGTATATGTATTTTATCACCACAGCAAAATAATTGTTGTATTTTGTGTCATACAAATTAAGTTTTTTGCCCTCAAAGTTGTCTTTATGGAGCTGTGTGATTTAAATTGGTAATCCAATTTTCCCATTATGATTTATAAAATCCAGTCAACATTTTGCTGTGGAAATTTTTATCTGACTTGGCGTCTGGTGGAAGGAAAGCTTGGTCCTTGTGCGCTTCTAGCATCCAACTTATATTTACTATTCTTGTATAGGTATTTTTGTCACCACAACGAAATAATTGTTGTATTTTGTGTCATATAAATTAAGTTCTGCCCTCAAAGTTGTCTTTTATGGAGCTGTGTGTGACTTTAATTTGATTTTCCACTTTTCCCATTCTGAATTATAAAATCTAGTGAACATTTTGTTGTTGGTAAGCAATATTGATCTTGTGACAACCCTGTTAATCATTGGTTTTGAATGTTATTTAAGTGCTTTGTGTGAATTTGAATGCTTATTATGCGTTTAATATGATTTTTAGGTTCATATATGTTAACCGTAGGAATATCTGTTGTGATTTCGGTTATAATCTGAAATTGAAGGCCTTAATGACGTCAGAAGTTTGATTAAAATTTGATTCAAATTAAATCAATTAAATTAAGCCTTGATTAATTAGTCTTAAGCTGTATTTAACTAACTTGATCCCTAATTAAGGCCCTAAGCTAATCTATGAGAAATGTTAATTAATCTTATTCAGACACAAAAAATTTGCCGACAATTAAGTTTAGAGAGAGAGGAAACTCAATTTTGGTGAAAAGATAGCTTGGAATTTTGCTTGAGAATTGAAGAATTGAGGAAGACAACTTAAGAAATTGGTACAATTAGTGTTCTTGAAGACTTTAGGTATGTGTTTAATTCTGAATTCATGAACTGAAGTCGAAACAGGCACTTTTTTCACACATAAGCTTTAAAATAGTCCATCGGGGGCCAAAATCGTGTAACAGTCGCGAGAAGGCTCGGGGAACACCTTAAACACCTTGGGAGGGACTAATGTAAGTTGTGGAAACTTACGGAACTAGCTCAGGACTCCCGGTTTGAAAACTATGTCAAAAAATGCACTTTTCAATCACTTAAGCTTGAAAATAGGTCATTGGTGGCCAAAATCGTGTAACAGTCACGAGAAGGACCGGGGAACACCTCCAACACCTTGGAAGGGACTAACGTAAGCTGTGGAAACTTACGGAACTAGTACAGGACTCCTGGTTTGAAAACTAAGTCAAAAAATTCACTTGTTTCACATTTATGCTTAAGAATAGGCCATCGGGGGCCAAAATTGTGTAAGAATCATGAGAAGACCTAGGGAACACCACCAACACCTCGAGAGGGACCAACATAAGTTTTGAAAACTTACGAAACTAGCACGGGACTTTCGGTTTGAAAACTAAGTCAAAAAACTCACTTTTTTCACATTTAAGTTTGAAAGTAGGCCATCGGGGGCCAAAATCATGCAACAGTCATGAGAAGGACCGGGGAACACCTTAAACACCTCGGGAGGGACCAATGTAAGTTGTGGAAACTTATGTAACTAGCACGGGACTCCCGATTTAAAAACTAAGTCGAAAAAGACAATTTTTTCACACTTAAGCTTGAAAATAGGCTATCGGAGGCAAAAAACGTGTAACAGTTACGAGAATGCCCGGGAACACCTCAAACACCTCGAGAGGGACCAATGTGAGTTGTGGAAACTTACGGAACTGGCACGGGACTTCCGGTTTGAAAACTAAGTCGACAATGACACTTTTTTCACGCGTTAGCATGAAAATAGGCCTCAGTCTGTCAAAATCGTGTAACAGTCATAGGAAGGGTGGGCTACACCACAAACACCTCGGGAGGGAACAATCTAAGTTATTGAAAATACGGAACTAGCACGGGACTCCCGGTTTTAAAAGTAAGTCAAAAAATTCACTTTTGTTTGCATTTAAGCTTGAAAATAGGCCGTCGATGTTCAAAATAGTATAACAGTCACGAGAAGGCCCAGGGAACACTTCAAACTCCTCGGGAGGGACCAATGTCAGTAGGGGAAACTTACGGAATTAGCACAAGATTCCCAGTTTGAAATCTAAGTCGAAAAAGGCACTTTTTTCACACTTACGGTTGAGAATAGGCCATCGGGGGCCAAAATCGTGTAACAGTCGATGGCACGGGGAACACCTAAACACCTCCAGAAGGACCAATGTAAGCTGTGAAAACTTACGGAACTAGTACAGGACTTCCGGTTTGAAAACTAAGTCCAAAAAGGCAAATTTCTCACACTTAAGCTTGAAAATAAGCCATCAGGGGCCAAAATAGTCTAACAGTCACGAGAAGGGCCAGGAAACACATCAAACATCTCGGGAGGAACCAATGTAAGTTGTGAAAACTTACGGAACTAGCACGGGACTTTCGGTTTGAAAACTAAGTCAAAAAAATCACTTTTTTCACACTTGAGCTTGAAAATAGGTCTCGTGTATAAGTTATGGATACTTACGGAACTAGCACGGGATTCCCGGATTGAAAACAAAGTCATAAAATGCACTTTTCAAACACTTAATGTTGAAAATAGGCCATCGGAGGCAAAAATCGTGTAACTGTCACAAGAAGGCCCAGCCAAAACCTCAAACACCTCGGTAGGGACCAATGTAAGTTGTAGAAACTAATGGAACTGGCACGGGACTCTCGGTTTGAAAACTTTTTTCACACTTAAGCTTGAAAATAGGCCATCGGGGGCCAAAATCGTGGAAAATCTGAAGGCCTCGGAAACACATCAAACACCTCAAGAGGGACCAATGTAAGTTGGAAAATTTACGGAACTAGCACGGGACTTTCGGATTGAAAACTAAGTCGAAAAAGGCCCCTTTTTCGTACTTAAGCTTGAAAATAGGCCATTAGGGGCCAAAATCGTGTAACTGTCTTGAGAAGGCCCGGGGAACCTCAAACACCTCGGGAAGGACCATTGTAAGTTGTGGAAACTTACGGAACTAGCACGAGACTCCAGGTTTGAAATCTAAGTCAAAAAATGTACTTTTTTCACACTTAAGCTTGAAAACAGGCCATCGGTGGCCAAAATTGAGTAACAGTCACGAGAAGGCACGGGGAACACCTCAAACACCTCAGGAGGGACCAATGTAAGTTGTGGAAACTTATGGAACTAGCACGGAACTCCCGGTTTGAAAACTATGTCAAAAAATGCACTTTTTTCACAATTGAGGTTGAAAATAGGCCGTCGGGGCCAAAATTGTGTAACAATCACGAGAAGGTTCAGGGAACATCTCAAACACCTCGAGACGGACCAATGTAAGTTGTGGAAACTTACAAAACTAACACGGGACTCCCTGTTTGAAAACTAAGTCGAAAAAGGCACTTTTTTCACACTTAAACTTGAAAATAGGCCGTCAGCGGGCGAAAATCGATTAACAGTCACGAAAAGGCCCAGGGAACACCTCAAACACCTTGAACACCTCGGGAGGGACCAATGTAAGTTGTAGAAACTTATAGAACAGGCATGGGATTCCCGATTTGAAAACTAAGTGAAAAAATACACTTTTTTCACACTTAATCTTTAAAATAGGCCATCGGCGGCCAAAATGGGTGTAACAGTCACGAGAAGGCCTGCGGAACACCTCAAACATCTTAAGAGGGACCAATGTTAGTTGTGGAAACTTACAGAACTAGTACGAGACTCCCGGTTTCAAGACTAAGTCAAAAAATACACTTTTTTCACACTTAAGCTTGAAAATAGGCCTTCGTGGGCCAAAATCGTGTAACAGTCACGAAAAGGCCCGGGGAACACCTTAAACACCTCGGGATGGACCAATGTAAGTTGTGAAAACTTACGGAACTGGTACGGGACTACCGATTTGAAAACTAAAGTAAAAAAATGCCTTTTTTTCATATTTAAGGTTGAAAATATGCCATCGGGGGCCAAAATTGGGTAAAAGTCACGAGAAGGCCCGGACCTCGAGAGGGAGCAATGTAAGTTTTGGAAACCTACGAAACTAGCACGGGACTCTCAGTTTGAAAACAAAGTCTAAAAATGCACTTTATTCACACTTAAGCTTGACAATAGGCCATCGGGGGCCAAAATCGGGCAACAGTCACGAGAAGGCCCATGGGACACATCAAACACCTCGGGAGAGACCAATACAAGTAGTGAAAATTTACGAAACTAGCACAGGACTTCTCGCTTGAAAACTAAGTCAAAAAATGCACTTTTTTTCACACTGAAGCTTGAAAATAGGCCATCGGGGGCCCAAAATTGTGTAACAGTCACGAGAACCCCAGCGGAACACCTCAAACACCTCAAGAAGAACCAATGTAAGTTGTGAAAATTTACAGAACTGACACGGGACTTCCGGCTTGTAAACTAAGTCAAAAAATGCACTTTTTTCACAATTAAAGTTGAAAATAGGCCATCGGGGGTCAAAATTGTGTAACTGTCACTAGAACCCCCACAAAACACCCCAAACACCTCGAGATAGACCAATGTAAGTTGTGGAAACTTACAGAACTAGCATGGGAGTCTCAGTTTGAAAACTAGGTCGAAAAATGCATTTTTCTCACACTTGAGCTTGAAAAAAGGCCATCGGGGGCCAATATCGTGTAACAGCCAGAGAAAGCCCGGGGAACACCTCAAACACCTTGGGAAGGACCAATTTAAGTTGTGGAAATGTACGAAACAAGCACGGGACTCCCGGTTTAAAAACTAAGTCAAAAAATGCGCTTTTCTCACACTTATGATTGAAAATAGGCTATCGAGGCCCAAAATCGTGTAAGAGTCACGAGAAGGCCTGAGGAAGACCTCAAACAGCTCGGGAGAGACCAATGTAAGTTGTGGAAACTTACGGAAGTAGCACGGGACTCTCGGTTTGAAAACTAAATCCAAAAAGGCACATCTCTTTACTTAAGCTTGAAAATAGGCCATCGGGGCCAAAATCAT